CAGAAAAGCCATTGAAATAAGCACTTTATACTTCACAACAGAAAGGGGCACAACTGAGAAATCTTCCTCATGTGTAACAAACTAGCAAAACTCAGTATCTGGGAGTGCTTGGACCAGGCTTCCTTTTCCTAGGTCCTATAGATAACTGCAGTCTTGAACTGAACTGAGCTTTATAGGTTAAAACCAGGACAATACTTACAAGAAACAGAATCTTTCAAAGGAAGCATAGTAAATTGTGTTACGTAATTTCAGGTTTGTTTTTTTCCTGTGTCAAAATATGCCAACCATTTGTGAGCATCTTTGTGGCTAGAGGGTACACATTTACTTGAATGAAATGGCATAAAGATTTTTTTTATGTTTGAAAAAAGGGGAGCTTTAGATAGGCAATATTTTAGAAGGGACATAATCTGCTTTCTTAAAAAAAGAAAAAAGGAAAGAAAAGTTATCTTGTCCCTCAAATTCATTGTGTTTTGAATTTAAGGTTTAACTAGGCAAGCTGAATTTTCCACTATATCACTTATGCAAGTTTACATATAGTCCTCCAAGGCTATTTACTTTTTATGTATTAATTGTTTGTTTTGTATTGTTATAAAACAAATAAAAGAAATTATGAAAAACTTTTTATTTCTACATCATATTTGTAGCAGTAGGTTTAGGATGTTTACTTCTCATGTAGATTTTGGCTTGTGTTTATATCAGGGACACAAAAAGCTAATAATATACAGATTCACTATTTCACAGGAATAATATCAGTAGAATAAAAACATATGTACCATTGCTATATATATTTATTCAAATCTCGCAAATCACCTAATTTTAATGGGACTTATGAAGCAATTTGATGCATGTCTGTTCAGAAGTAAATCCCACTGAATTAAAGGAATCTTACTCCTTGGTAAGAATGCACAGAATTACAGCCTTATTTTCTAAATAAAAGGGGAATAGGATTACAGGCTAATGGTGCAATCTTGCACATCTTTGCTCTCAAGTACACTGTATTAATTCAATGGGATAAGCTTCCAGTAAGTGTTGCACTGAAGCCTGCAGGAACACTGCAATACTATTCAGCCCAAGTAGGCTGTTTCTTTGCCAGACATTTTATTTATGGAACAAGATGAAATTCAACTTTCCCCATTCATTTATTTAGGGACAGTTGTTTTGTTTGGTGCTTATATGCTTTCCTCTCCCTACTGCAAGTCTTCCCAAGATTATTATAAGCTTACATTCAGCTCTAGAAAATAAATCAGCTAGAAAGTGCTAGAGAAATAACCATGAACAATAAAATTTATACCTTACATTAGCTGTCTGTCTTGTAGTAAAAGTTAGTTTCCATTCTATTTTCTCTTTGGCATAATACAGACATCTATCCCAAACTTGACAACCTTTACTAAATCAAAATGTAATACTGTATAATCACATTATTGCTTTTTTAGGGTCAAAGCTTGATAGATATTAATTTTAATTTCTTATATTGTATCCCTCAAATGAGAGGTTAAAGTTCAGGCAACATTTAGAGCTAAAGTAGATTATTGCCTATTTGTACACTTCTCTTATTTGTGGTATTTAGCCAATACATTTTCAGCATGGAGTGTCTGCAGGATTAGTTCATTTGGCAGTGAAGACAAGGGAAAATAATTGCCAAGAAGATAATAATATAAGGGCAAGCAAAATCATTTCTGATCAAAGACTTTTCTCCCTAATAAGATTCTCTTGGCATTCCATGTTGGAAACTTGTTTTCTACACTGTTGCCTATTACAGGTGCTGAAGTCCTTGCTAAGGTTCCCTGTCATCTGGACTGTGGTGAATAGGGCCTTCTTTGTTGTGACACCCAACCACTGGATCATATTCCCAGAGATACAGAAACAGGGACAAGTATGTTCATGGGTGCTGCAGATATCCAGTACCTAATACCAACTAGAATACAGTGGACCTATTGAAGCAGTTCCTTAATGATAACCTAACACTTATGTAAACCCCACTGATTTAATGGGTCTACTCTAGTTAGATTTGGATTTTGCCTGCAATATGGTTTTCACTGCCCTCTGTATTTTACAGAAGTTCTCTTTGCTTCTGCTCATTGCTGTGTCCATTTCTTAAATTAATAGTTGGTTTTAACATTCCTGTAATAATAATGAAGGAGTGCTGAAGTAATTAGAAATATGTTTAAATAAACAATACATATTTATTTTTAAATGTATTTCTTGCAGTTATAGCTTAAACATCTAAAGTTTTCTAAAGATCAATAGTGACAAGCCAATATAGCTATGCTGATGAGAAAAGTATGGTGGAGCAAAAACTGGCAAAAAAACGTGTAGCAACACAAAATGCTCTTAATTGGATAAATACTTTCATTTGCTTTCAAGTGGAACTGTCTGGTGTTAAATATATGTCATCTCACATCTTTACCCTCATGCTATTCACAGCCAAGATCAAAGAAGAGCAGAATTATTTTTGTGAACTTAAAGGGGACTTTCAAGTGATTTACTTTGCCTCAAACAATCACCCTTAAAGGCAACCTAAAAGCAATTTTGAAATTAATCTGAAACAGCCAGGATACTGCATACTTTCCAAAGACTGAGTGGACACGTTTTGCTCAAGCTTAATACTTGACAACCAGTATGCCTAGGCAGGTTTGTAAGCTTGGGTGGTAGTTGTTTTGTTTGTTATTTATTTTGCCTTTGCTTCAGTATGGAGTTTGGCTTATTTGAATGAACTTAAAATCAAGTGTCCTGCAAAGCATCCTCAAAACACATACTCTTTGCTTTTGGCATATTATGGCCTGAATTTGAGTAGAACCGTGTATAAAAACCTGAATAATTGTAACTTGTGGCAAAGGATGGGGCTCAAGAGGCTTTTGTTTCCATGAACTCTCAACTCTCCTCAAATATAAAACCGAAATTCCCTGGAAGAAAGCCAGACTTTGTGCTTTACGAGAGTAATCCCAGTGATGAAGAGAGATTTCCCCCCCCCCCACAAAAAAAAAATACCTAGAGAAAATTAATTTGGCTTGCAAGATTACAGTTATTTGCATATTTCAGGATGCTTCTGACAGCAAAGCATCAACACTTACACAATCATATGAGGACAGCTATGACCAAGTTTCATCTTCAAACCTTAAAATAGTTTTTGTTTTTGCTTTTCCTGTAGACAGAGAAAGGAAAGGAGCCAGAGGCTGGAAAGTATTGAATTCAATCAGGCAAACAACAGCAGGAGGTTCAAGGGTGTACCTGGCTAGAAAGAAGGGGTCTAACCTCATCATTAATGCTTATTTTCCTCCTTTCCTTGTACATGCCATCTGTCCCTACAGATTTCTCCAATAGCTTCAAGATAGAAATGAACAAGTGATGGCATAAATCGTTTAGGTTATTTTGTGCTAAGAAAATGTAGCCAAGGAGAGGAAAATGCACTATATTCTTAATGGATTCACTGGGTGATTATGGGAAGCACCTGAAATATAGATGCCATTTCACTGACTCTGAAGTTTCAAAGCCCACAGTTAGATTTCATTAGGGAACCAAGTGAAATATTATGGTCTACATGAGTGTTCTTCAGTATGTTTCTGCTCAGGAACAGTCAAAATGTTGTGTTGTAGTCAAAATGAACTTTTTGAAAAGTATAAAAGAAGGATAATTACATTAGGCAGTTAATATGATGAAATGTTTAACTTCAGAGAATTTAAAACTGCAGCATTTAAAATACTGAGCAACAACTTTATTAACTCATGTTCTATGGAACAGCTGTTATTGGATTTTCAATTTATATGGAGATGCAAACTAGTCTGTTGATGGAAAGTGGTTTTTATAATGTTTTACCTGAGTACAAATACACAACACAATGGTTTCTAAAACTGGCAGAGGGTTATGATGGTTTGCCACTATTGACCAGGTGACCATTTAATTAAAAGCCAGCAATATATTTTCACATACATTATACCTCATTGTGTGCTAACTACATTTATCTTTATAAATCTCAATACCAATTATATCAATTGACCCCAAATATGATTGGTGGTAGGCTATTTCAGCTGACATCTATGATAGTGAATCAGAATAACCATTATAATTGGATGAAAGAAAATGGGTATTATTTTGCAGGAAAAAATAACATTTGAAAATAATAATGTATACTCTAGCATACCAATTCTGTTTATGCCTTACACAATTAGAATTGGCAAGACAATTATTGCAAGGGTATAAATTAAATTTATTGTTCAGTGTTTCCTTACAATTTTTCTTTTATGATTTCCTTCTGTGATTTAGGAGAGTGCCCGTCCCAGAAAGATTATTTTGCAGAATGGTTGAGAAAAGGCACAATCATCTTCCATCACTGAAAGAAAGGTTTTAATTTCCTATAATGTACAGCACACTGGATACTTACTTTAGCAAGTTCTGAGTATGGAATGTTAATTAACTCCATCATTTCCACCATTTGTAGGAACAGCTCTGACATTTTGATATTTTGCTCTCCAGAATTTCTTGCTATGCTATGGAAGATGCTGCAGTACGCCCAACACTGATGAAGCCTATTCATTTTCAGCAACATTGAAAAGGGATGCATTGCCCATATCCAGTTTCTTTGTCAGCATGTTTAATATAAGCCATAGCTTTCCGTAAGTCTGAACAGGCAAACTATGTTTTGTGCTTGCTTTCATATCAGAATATGCATGGAAATCAGAAGCAAAGCATGATATGGAATCCCCACCAAACTATCATGAAAACTAAACAGGAAAGTGAAACTGAGGTCATGCACAAGAGTGAAGGGGAAAACAGGAAACATACAGGTGTGTGGCTCATTTCTGATCCTCCAAGAAATGGTTTGGACTGAATCAAGGGCTGTTTCCTCAATGTGGCCAATATGTTACAGCATTTCTGTTAATTGTTGTTGTTGTTGTGTGCCTTCATGTCATTTATGACTTAAGCCATTCCTAAGGTGAACCTATCATGGGGTTTTCTGGGGTTTAGAGTGTGTGACTTGCCCAAGGTCACCCAGTAGGTTTTCTTGACCAAGCAGGGAATTGAACCCTGATCTCCAGAATCATAGTCCAGCGCTCAAACCATTACACCATGCTGGCTCTCTTCTGTCATTAACATCTTCTATTTTTAAGCAGACATACTCAAATAACCTTTTGGAATGGGTACATATGAGACAGGTGTGCTTAAAAACATGTAATGTGGAAGCAAACTTTATATAGTTGGCCTTTGGTACCCGCTAAGGTTAGGTACCAGGACCCCCTGTCAATACTCCTGTCCCATTAAATACAATGGCATAGTAAAATATGTCCCTTATATACAATGGCAAAATTCAGATTCGCTTGTTGGAATATTTATTTTATAAAGGATTTTCAAGCTGTGGATGCTTGAATCTCTGGATAGGGAGGGCTGACTATATTCACATGCAATCAATGTCTGTTTCCATGTATGTAAACATAATGGTTGACCTAGAAGAGATGGGCCTAGCAATAATTGAAAGACTGGCTTATGTAATTTGGGTGGGGTTCACGTAATGAATGTTAATGCTTCACAGACACTGTCTGATCATTTTTGTAATAGGACAAATCATGACTACTGAACCTTAGCTTCTAAATACAGTGAGCACTTGGTATCCACTGGGGTTTGGTTCCAGAACCACCCTGGCTGCCAAAATCTGTGCATACTCAAGTCTCTTTAAATACAATGGGGTAATAAAATGGTGTCCCTTTTATAAAATGGCAAAATCAAGGTTTGCATTTTGGAATTTTAAAAAAAATATTTTCAAGCCGAGGATGATTGAATCTGTGGATGCAGATTCTGTGAATATGGAGGGGCTGACTGTAGATAGTTCAAGACTTTTTCTTACACAATCCTTTTGATGGATTTACTGGACAGGTGTTGAAAACTGGAAGGCATTTTGATTGTAATTATTTATTGTATTTTAGTATTTATTGGAGGGTTTTTAGGGTTAGTGCTGGTACTAATCTATTGATTAATTTCATATCTCAGTATCATTGTTTTGATTTTTATTGTTAGTTGTATGTGACAGTAACAATTGAAACCCACTTTAAAAGAGTTTTCACCCTTAATGGAGGACAATAAATATTTTCAGTTTCAGTTTTCAGACAGGCTTTACAAGTCAGCTTGAAGTCTGGATTTAAAATTTCAAGGCTTTCAATCCTGGGAGATTCAACATCTTTATTAAGGCTATCCTGCCTGTTTGTGTCTTGGGACGTCATGGCGGCCATGGCAACCATGAGTTTGTCTCATTCTCAGTTAATAGTGAGCCCAACAGACTCAACAGGGAAGGCTCTGAATTGAATATTCTCTATGGAATGAAGGTGTGTGATGTGTTCTGGGAAGAAGACCCAGAAATGCTTCTGTTTCATAGGCTGCATCTGCACTGTAGAAATTATTGCAGTTTGACATCACTTTAACTGCCGGGGGTCAATGCTATGGAATTCTAGGATTTGTAGTTTATAGTGGCACCAGAGCTCTTTGATAGAGAGGGTTAAATATTTCATAAAAGTACATACCCCAGAATTCCATAGCATTGAGCAATGGCAGTTAAAGTGGTGTCAAACTGCATTATATCTGCAGTGCAGGTGCATCCATTGATCAATCATCACCCAGGGGTAGGCAACCTTTCCCCTTTAAGGGCAGAGAGACTTCAGCTCCCAGAATCCCAGGAGCTATTGGCCAACATGGGACTATTGGCCAACATGGCTGAGGCTTCTGGGAGCTGAAGTCCCTCAGCCCTTAAAGGGGAAAGGTTGCCTACCCCTGGATCATTAGACTTTAAGAGTATTGGTTACTTGTGCAGAACTAGACAACCAGTTTCCTCAATCTGCCACCTTCCCCCAACTGGTGGATCCTAATGGCTTTTTAAAATCCTTGGGAGATTATGTGGCAAAGTTGACCAGACTAGACCAGAGATCTCTTCACATCTGCTTGGGAGCTGGGCAAGCAATTGACACAATTGATCTCAGGTACCCAATTGCAGGGTTGGCATTGAATTTTTGATGCTCTGATCAGCTGAGAGTAACAGAGTGTTTGTGATGACAAGTAAGTGCGGGGAGCAGAAAACCTACTCTTAATATGACCAAACACAGATAAGAACATTTCATAAGATTTGCTCTGTGTCAGTGCTGATGGCTGAACTGTCTCACTGTTTCATTATCATTGTATCTGCACAATACAGAGAGGTTAACGTTTTTGAGAAGTTAAGAATCTGCTACATAAAAACCTTGCAACTTAAGCAGTGAATCCCTCAATAGAAAAGTGTGCCCACTTTTCATTTTGTACTGCAGACAGAATAACTGGTATTCACACACTCAAAAATTCACCAAACAGTGAATTTTTGGGCAACCAAAATGTACAATATGCATGTTGCAAGCTTTCAAATCTTCACTGGCTTCTTCTTCAGCCAAGGTGTTACAAACCGAACAGGAGGAAAAAAATTGAAGATGTTAGTCATAAGCCTTCAGGAGAAGGTATTTAGAACCTTCATGCACAATGACCCCTCACATACACATAAGCATACACACCAGCACTGGGATGTATGCCCAAGGCCAATCAGTAGTTGGAGGACAGTGAGTACCCAACCACCATCTGGCTGTCATTTTGCAGCTGGGAAAAGGAAAAGCTGTCTTGGTGGTGGCCTATGAGATATGAACTTCCCTCCTGCTGTTTGTACTCCAGACATCTGATGCAAGCTTTTAACAAAATTTTTAATATAAATTTGTTTAAACTGATCTTTCTTGACTAGGTAATCAATATGTATATTCCACCCATAACAACCTTTTCTGAATTTCCTCAATCCTGATTGTGCTGGTTTTATATATATTTTATACATACACATGTTCAGGCTCATCATGTAACTTTCTATTATATTTTTAAAGTTGACCTATGCAAATAAAAATAAATTTGAGACATCTGTCTAATAAACTACTGAAGTTAGAGAGTGAGAGAAAGCAATTTCAATTCTTTCCCTAGCAACTATAAAAAACACCATTTGCAAGTCATGAAGTATATGCTTGTGTCCAAAACCTCTGTAGGCGAATTTATGAGGATATGTCTTTGAAAAGTAGAATGCAGAAGTACTGAAGGAATGAGTGAATGGATCCACACTGAGTAAATGGTATAAGTATTTACAACTGAGCAAGAAGACTTACTTTACATGATCCATATTGTAGTTATGCCTTTTTGGTTTCAACTCCAAGCAGATGGGCTAATGGCACCAGTGGGATACCAATCAGTATGTTCCACTGGATGCAAAATTCACAATTTTCTCAGCAGGGTTCAAATCCTTGGTATGATAATGGATTTTAATCACATTTTAAACTAACATCTCACGTAGCATTATAGTATTATAGTTATAGTTATAGTATTGCCTTTTTGAAGAGGACATTGGAATGTTTATTGCTTCTTTTTGTGACCCCTTTTCCAGATTATTTCAGCTCCCTCTTCTGGATGGTATCTCAGGAAGGGAAGACACAGCACATACATGTATTGATTCCTAAGTGCATAGTCTTCAGATTTATCACACAAAATAAAATATGGAGTAATATTTCACCAACTTTTCTTTGGCTTCCATTTCCATATAGTATTGATTTTTTTTAATCTTGTTACATATGCTTAAGGAACCATCTTTGATTTGTGGCAACTTATTTTATTAAAATTCTTTTGACCAAACATAAATTTTGTGATCAGAGGCATGGCTTATATAAAGGATTCTGGTAGTCACAAATCCTGGAATTAAGGTTCATCGTATAATTTTTCATTGTACTTTTAAAGTTAGCCTATGCAAATGTACATATTTAAATACTGAGAGAGGGAGAAAGGGAGAGAGAGCATGGAGATATCTGACCAATAAACTATGGAAATCATCTACTGCTTTACAGAAAAAAATCTGAAAGAAAGATAGTAACCAACTCTAGTTCTTCCCCTAGCAACTATAAAGACATCATTTTGAAGGCATGAAAATATAAATCAGGCATTAGGTCTAGTCTCTGTTCATTTGTTCCAAATGTATTTAACTCAATGGGGTAGATGGGATTCATTTTTGTTCTTTCAGGATGAGGGGGGTAGAAGGAAGCTCAGTGCATATTGCTACCAAATGGCCCTTAACATTTGACAGAGCAATATACAGTAATGTTTCATAACCACTGTACATTGGAAGCAAGATCAGAGCTTCCAAAACTGTGCAGCAGACATCCAAAAAAAGCTTTCAAAAACATGAAGGGCACAAGGTCAGGCACAAGGATGTAAATCTTCACTTATATTATTCTCACATGCAACAATGAAAAAATTCAAATGTTATTTTCTTTGCTGAATGTTTGCATGTTTTTCTTTTCTTTTTTCCCCCCACTTTTCTGGACCTTCTCCTACTAGCTACTTGTTTACTGTCTCCATGCAAGCTAAGTAAGTTCACTTCTGGTTAGTACTTGGATGGGAGACCAGCAGCAAATACCAGATGCTAATGCTATATTTCAGAAGAAGGGATTGGCAAACCATCTATGAATATTCCTTGCCTAAGAAAACTCTATAGAATTCATGGGGTCACAATATTGACAGGTAACTTGAAGGCACATACACACACATTATGTGAGACAGAACAAGCTGAGAGATAGGAAGTAGCCCTAGATCATACAGTGAGTTTCTTGGCTCACTGCACTCTTGGATCAGGTTCTCCCATATCCCAGTCTAAGGACCTTATCACACGCTGGCCACGAAGCAAAAAGTAACCGAAATAAGAATAAATTCAGTTCTATACCGAAATGAACTGAATTTCGCCTGCGCGGCCATTGCGCAATGATTCCGAAAGCTCCCTTGTACTTCCCCGAAAAACCAAATGTCAAAAGATCTCAATTCTTTACGGATTAGCTCCGGGTTCTGTCGAGTTTCGGTGCAACGTCGTGTGTAAACACGGAGAAACAATACGGATTAGCTCCGGGTTCTGTCGAGTTTCGGTGTAACGTCGTGTGTAAACACGGGGAAATAATATGCATTAGCTACGGATACCCTTTGGATTAGGTCTGCTTTAGATCCCGTGTGATAAGGTCCTATCTCTCTAACAACTTTCTCTTCATACCAAATACAT